TACTGGTTGTGCGTGTAGCAGCATTGGTCTTAGCCTGGGAGAATTTCTCTGTACCTGTGAGAGCTCGAGATGGTACAGATCCCTCGTGATGATCCCTAAAGCTGTAGCACATGAAGCATTTCAGAGTGAATTTTCCATCTGCTCCTTTTAAAGATCTGCTCTCAAACGTACCATAAAGCACACACCTAATAGATTTATTCTCCTTGTTCAACTGCTCCTGTTCCCAAAGTGATTGGAGATTTGGGGTGTAATCCTTTCCTTTGAGAGCATTAGGAAGTAGAAAGTTATCATTGCTGAAGGGCTGTTCTGTGTTTGTTTCTTTTCCATTTCACCAGAAGCCCTGTTCTAAAGGGGGGAAATATGCTGTATTGTCTTTGTTGAGCAGAATTTTCTGCTTTTCCTTCTAAAAAAAAAAAAAATTATATTTTTCTTCGATTTAATTTTTAGTGCTGGTGAAAAAGAGACTTGGCAATAGAAACTGTCTATCTGAGACTGGACAGGTAAAGCACAGGAGCCACTAACATGCGCTCCCCGACGTCCTTCGCCGTTCATCAGGAGGGAGCCTGTGCGACGGAGGGGGGTGCGGTGCTTCGTTCCCCGTGGAGAGGGCCAGCACAGCAGAAAGTGTGTGGAGGTAACATAGCAGCGATAGCACTGCAGACCCATCGTTTGATGAGGAAAAGGAGTAAGGATGAGTATGAGTGCATACAGGCAGAGATAGGGAGCTCTAATTTAGCGGATGCAGGATTCCTGTGGATTTTCCTCCTGGAAAGTTCAGTTCAGTCTGTGTCACCACATTCTGCCTAATGGTTATTTATTGCTGTGCTAAGCTCTGGAGGACCGTAAGTTTAAAATTACCGGGCTCTGTTCACAAATATGCTGAGAAAGGAACAATATTTCCCTAATTTTATAGGGAGATGGACAAAACGAGGTGTAAGCAGGAAGGAATAGGTGTGCTCAGGTGTTTGCAGAAGGACCTTGGTGACTGAACATTTGCAGAGTAATGACTCCATGAGCATCCACAGATCAGACCAGCCTGGCTCTTTCTACTACAAATGCAAAGCGAGGGAGAACCTCAGGTATTCCCGTAACTTCACCAGCACGGGGAGTGCCTCCTGTGGAGTTGAGGAAAGCCAGGAACACAGCCTGGGATTTGAATTAAAATGTGACAATGTGCCCAAACAGCAATTTAGTCTTGCAGACCCACGCCGTGGGAGAAGGAACTGCAGCGTGCAAACCTGTCATGCCTGAGAAGTCGGTCAGGTTGGCATTTGGGAAGAGGCTCTAGTAATTATTGAGTTTCTGATTTCCTAAGAGCTCTTCCTGCCTCTTTTTTTGTGTGTGTGTAATTAGGTCTGTCAGGCAGCAACGTTGTGTTATAATGTCAACAAGAGTTTCTCACTGTGGGGCTTGATCAGTTTAAAGAACTAAATAGCACTTGGGAGTGAGAGGAATGAGTTGGCTGGAAAGCCCAGCAACTAACCTGTTTCTCCTCCTCCCAAATTTCTTTTTGGGAACTATGGAAATCAGCAGCCTTTTTCCCCAGGGCTGCTTATTGCTCTTAAATACAACAGTGAAGTCTCTCTTGGTAAAACCACAGATTGGCTTTTTACTTTGCTTTTTTTTCTGAAGTCCTAATAACAGTGTGTTACAACCTCAGGCTCTATCAAGTTGATGAGGAATAAAGTCTTAGTAATGAAGAAGAGTCTGAGAGTGTGTCTAAAGTGCTTGCTTTATCGCCAGCACATATTTCATACTGACAGTCAATACTTTTAACTGATCCCAAGCCACGCGTGTTGCATTTCAAATCCCTCCCCAGCCTGCTCTGGTCTTTCCCGTGTGGTCTTTTCCAAGCTAGCGGCAGAGTTAGTTTGTCAGCTTCACGTTTCTGAGCATACGGATTTTTTTCATTCACAGCCCACGTTTTTAGGTCAGGAGGATAAAGTTTGTTCTGTGTCAACTGAATGGAAGGACCAGAGGAGCCACTGGAAGGATTAGGTGGCACAACAGCTGCAGAGGATCATGTGTGGGGCAATGGATTTAGCTTCTCAAGGACTCCGGTTGCCATTTTAGGGAGTCCAGTCTGCCATTTCGTCACTGTTTAGGGCTCATAAATGGGCAAAGCAGCTAAAACGGAGCAAGATTTAGATGCGGTCTGAGCTGATAACCTTTGTGACTGCCTTTACTGCCTGTGGGGCTGCAGTTTTCTCTGGCCAGACTGAAGCAGCACATCCACATGCCCGTTCATTTTTTCTTGGCCATATTTATAATCCCTTGTTTCTGTGTTACCTCAACACCTTGCAGGGTTTGACCGCGCTTATCCCATGGCACCCCCAAACAAAAAAACCAGCAGAGCTTGTTTTCCCACGTGTGCCTTGAAGTTAAGCTGGTTTTTAGATTCACTGGTGTTTGAGTGAGCATGTGCTTGGACGAAGGGTTAATGGGGCAGCTCTCATCTGGCCAGCTGTTTGCAGAAAACCGGTAGCAATTCTAGGATCTTTGCAACCCCTACAAGACCAGCCTGAAGTAGCAGGGACTGGCCGACTGGTGCAATGACACGGACAGTGACAGCATGAGCTTCATTTCCTGGGGACAGCTTAAAAAAGAGGGGGAAAAAAAAAGAAAAATAGACTTTAAAAGCTTTTTAAAATTATTTATTTTTGCCTTCGGTCACCTGGTTTGTACACTGGTGCATGCTAAAACGCTTCTGTTGTGTAGCCGCGGTCCCAGAGGCACAATACGAGTGTGCTGCTATTGCCAGGGCTCCCTGTGCCTGACAGCCCTGCGCGGAAGCACTGGGGATTTACATTCATCACCAGCCCTCTCTCCCAGCCTGGGCAAATGCAAGTTGGTGTACAGAGAATAGTCTTAAAATGTCCTGCCAGCAGAGCCGCAGCCTCCCCTGTCTGCCCGCAGCGACTGCACTGCCAAGATGTGAGAAAGCTGATTTAGCCTTTTCCTGACTTTTTAGCCCTTTTATCCTCCCGGCTTTCTGAGATTTACACCAGTGCTGTTTGCCAGACAACGTTATGAATTTTAAACCTGCCTTAATTTTAAGTGTCCGTACTGCTGTGCAACTCCCAGTTGCCGGTCAGGTTGGGGGGAATCCCTATTTAATCGTAGGACGTTAAGTTACCGGCAACAAATGTCCTTGTAACAACATAGGCCTAGGAATTGTGCTTTATTACTCCACCTGTTTCCACTTTCATTACAATTTTTCCTGGTTAAAATAAAATCTTCCATTTATTTTTTCTGACACACAGTTGTGCACTACACCGAAAATTATTCCTGACTTCTCTCTGGTCCTTTAAGGTGAACTTCTATTTTGCTTTGGCCTCTTTTCAGATCTCTGTTTTAGCCGAGATTTTCTTCTTTGCCTTTTTTCTGCTAATTCTCGATGAGTAGATGAGAGGAGTATTAAATAGATTTAGTGAAAAATGACCGTCACCAGTGTAGATGACTTTCCTCTAATTAAAAATTGAAGCGGAAATGAATAAGCTTCTCTCGAGGCTGTGTAAGAGTCAGCGCTAAGCCCAGCACTATATTCATCAGTGATGTGGGAAGTCCGGTATATGAAAGAATATCCCAGAAACTTAGGTGCCTCGGAGGATGCTAATAAAAGGGAAGGGAGAGTTTCTAGTGGCAGCGTATTCATCTGGCCTAGATTTAAATCTGTTGGCATAGACCAAAGACTCAGAGCTGAATTTGCCATGTCCTTGAATTTTATGCCCATGCTAGGTAGGCATCCAGGGCCATAGCAGAGTTTTCCAAGCAAAAAGGCATATCTAAGCAAGCTGATAGCGCTTGGGTGGTGCAGTACCCAACGGATCCTGACTTTTGGCATCTTTGCTTTGATGTACAGCGTAGACTTTTCCAGTTTTAACCAGAAATTCCCTCTTGCATGCAGCCAGCTAGTGGAGGTAATCGTAACCAACACGAGTACGTTCCCTTTAAACTTTCTCTTGCAATGAATCAAAATTTTCCAGCAGGAAATGAAAGCAAAACACTTCATCTAAAAATTCCTCATCAGCTCTAGTCACTAGACCAGAACAATAGTGATTACACTCAGTTATGCAGTACAAATTCACAGCGCTGCTGTGTCCCAGGATCACAACATGCCATTAAAAGGCGGGTAGAGAGAGCAGGTGTACATTAATATCTCCATTTTGTACATGAGGAGACAGGGGCTTGCAGATGTTAAGCAGCTTCTGCGAAGTTACACGGCAAGACAGTGGCAGAGGCAGAAATAGGAAACCAGATCTAGGGCCTGTGATTTTTCTGGTCTGGCCACTCAAGCATGCAACTCTAATGAAAAGCAGAGTGCCCGGAGAAAGCCACATGTCCGCGTCTAATGAATCCCATCACTTTCTCAGGTTTACTGGTATTAACCCCGGAGGTGTTAGACATGTACGAAGGCTGCTGTTTTGCAGAGAGGACAGTTACTTTTAAAAACTCGCAATGTCTTAGGTCACTAAGGGGTCGTTTTGTTTGCATTGTCTGAATATATGATTGTTCTCTTGTAGGAATGGCAAAGCATCAGCCGCGCAGCAGTGACGAGAGAGACTGACATTCGTACGAGTCTCTTCTGGCTCCTTCTCCACAATGGCTGGTGCCTCTGCATATTCATTGGATGGTAATGCAGGATGTCAAGAGCAGCGGTAGAGTTTGGCTTGATCCCATTGTGTTTTTCTTCTGCTGGTTGAGACTTTGAATCACCATGACAACGCTGTGACACTTCCAGCAACGGTTGCCCACAGACCAAGGGTGGGCTGGGGGTGGGTGAGAAGGTCAATGATTGAGTCTAACGGGATCAAAAGTTGCGCCTGCAGCAAAACGACTGTAGAAAAGCCGTCAGCACGACAAGAAAATGAAATTCCCCTTCTATTGGCTTCTTGATAAGCAGGCACAATAGCATTTTCTTTCGAGAGACTCGCTATAAAAACTCTTTTGGTTATGGCTACTGATCCAACGTGATTGGGCGCGCAGCAACTTTTGAACTCATGACTGGATATACGATGTTGCGGAATGGGGGAGTGGGGAACGGAGGCCAGCCATGGGTGTTGAGATGGTCCAGTCGGATCCGGCTCACCTGGCTTAGTTTCACCCTCTTCATTATCCTCGTCTTCTTTCCCCTCATTGCCCACTACTACCTAACCACCATCGATGACGCGGACGATGCCGGCAAGCGCATCTTTGGCCCTCGGACCGGCAACGAGCTGTGCGAGGTAAAGCATGTGCAAGACCTGTGCCGCATCCGCGAGTCGGTCAGCGAGGAGCTGCTCCAGCTGGAGGCCAAGCGGCAGGAGCTCAACAGTGAGATTGCCAAGCTCAACTTGAAGATTGAGGCCTGCAAAAAGAGCATTGAAAATGCCAAGCAGGACCTGCTGCAGCTGAAGAACGTCATCAGCCAGACCGAGCATTCCTACAAAGAGCTGATGGCTCAGAACCAGCCCAAGCTCTCCTTGCCCATCCGGCTGCTGCCAGACAAAGATGATGCAACCTTTCCCCTGCCAAAATCCAACCGGAACTGCAGGCTACACAACTGCTTTGACTACTCACGCTGCCCGCTGACATCTGGCTTTCCAGTCTATGTCTACAACAGTGACGATTACCCTTTTGGTAGTTCCTTAGACCCTTTAATTAAACAAGCCTTTGAGGCGACTGTCAGAACTAATGTTTATGTTACTGAAAATGCAAATATTGCTTGTGTGTATATAATTTTAGTGGGGGAAATGCAAGAGCCCGTAATGCCAAAACCTACTGAACTAGAGCAACAGTTGCACTCTTTGCCATATTGGAGGACTGATGGACATAACCATCTCATCATCAACTTATCAAGGAAATCGGAAACTCAGAACTTCATTTACAACATCAGCACAGGGCGGGCCATGATTGCCCAGTCCACCTTTTACGATGTGCAGTATCGACCAGGGTTTGATATTGTGGTATCACCTCTGGTCCATGCTATGTCTGAACCCAACTTCCTAGAAATCCCGCCCCAGGTGCCAGTCAAGCGTAAATATTTGTTTAGTTTCCAGGGGGAGAAGATCGAGTCTCTCAGATCTAGCTTGCAAGAGGTTCGCTCTTTCGAAGAGGAAATAGAAGGCAATGCCCCAGCTGACTACGACGATCGGATCATCACCACCTTGAAAGCTGTTCAGGACAGCAAGCTGGACTTTGTTTTGGTGGAGTTCACGTGTAAGAACCAGCCTAAGGCGAGTCTGCCCACTGAGTGGGCTCTGTGTGGAGAAAGGGATGACAGACTAGAGCTACTGAAGCAATCTACTTTTGCACTGATAATCACCCCAGGGGACACCCATTTAGTGATCTCCGCCGGGTGTACCATGAGACTGTTTGAGGCTCTGGAAGTTGGAGCCATCCCGGTGGTTCTCGGAGAGCAAGTTCAGCTACCCTATAATGATGTGATCCGGTGGAACGAGGCAGCCTTAATCATACCAAAGCCACGTATCACAGAAGTGCACTTTCTTCTGAGAAGCATTTCTGACAACGATCTGCTTGCCATGAGGAGGCAGGGCCGCTTCTTGTGGGAGACCTACTTCTCCACCTCTGACAACGTGTTCAGCACAGTCTTAGCTATCATAAGGACTCGAATTCAAATCCCAGCTGCTCCTATCCGAGAAGAAACTGCCGTGGAGATTCCCCACCGGTCTGGCAAAGCTGCTGGTACAGACCCAAATATGGCAGACAACGGTGACCTGGACTTGGGGCCTGTAGAAACAGAACCACCCTATGCATCTCCCAAATATCTCCGCAATTTCACGCTCACTGCAATGGACATCTACAGGAGTTGGAATTCTGCTCCAGGGCCTTTTCACCTCTTCCCCTACACTCCCTTTGACCCTGTTTTACCATCAGAAGCAAAATTTTTGGGGTCTGGGACTGGATTTCGACCAATTGGTGGAGGCGCAGGTGGCTCTGGGAAGGAGTTCCAGGCTGCTTTGGGTGGCAACGTCCCCCGGGAGCAGTTCACAGTAGTGATGTTGACTTACGAGCGGGAGGAAGTGTTGATGAACTCCCTAGAAAGGCTCAATGGTCTCCCGTACTTAAATAAAGTTGTGGTAGTGTGGAACTCTCCCAAACTTCCATCTGAGGATCTCTTGTGGCCAGACATTGGTGTCCCAATCATGGTAAGAAAGATGTAGCTACTTTGGTCTTGCTTCCTGGTGGGGTTTGTGCATTAAAGTTGGCTGTAGCTCTTCTGGACCTAATCTGGACTCTTTTATCGACAAGAGAAAACCAAGGAGGTTACAAGTATGATTCACCTGATCCATTTGAGGTGTTTGCATGAGAATGCCATGGCTGGTGCTCTTAGAAACGCCTGTTTCTCTCCACCGGCTTTGAAGGCAGGCCGGTGTCCAGAGGTGGACAACTGTGCTCTGTGGATGCATGAACTTAGGCGAGATGCATTGCTGTCATGAGAGAATTCGTTTGGTGGCCTTTGGGTTATGAAATAGAGGAGCTTATATACACAAGAACCTAAATTGTAAAAATACGGGATCTTCAGAGGTGCCAGGTGTTTAGCACTCGTGAAACAGTGATTGCTTGTATGGAGCCTAATACAAATCTTGAGTCTTAAAGCTAGAGATTCTTGTTCATGAAAATCTTGCTTAGGCTCTTTAAGTGTCACACTGTGAGGACAGTTGGCACCTTATAAATACCTAAGTAGTGACTGCTTCTGCACTTTACCAGATAAATCTTTTATAAAAACAAAAGAGGGACACGCTGAAGCCATGCCTACTGCAAGGGCCTCAAAAATAATTTATCACTTTATATTACAAGGGATGGCAGAGAAGGAAATACAAGCCAAGACCAGCATGACCATAAGAGCTTCCATGCTCCAAAGGTCGTAATCAAGTTTTGCTTAGGTTTAGGTTGATTACTTTTTTTTCCCCAGCCAAACTGATGAAGCAACACCTTCAAAGACCAACACTCATTTTCATGCCCAGCTACTCACTTGCATATTGGCAGTGTTGCTTGTAAGGAGTTAATTCTCCCTAAATCATTACTTACGTATGTATGTATTTATTTTAGGACTTCTCTGTCATCCCAGCGTAACTTTCTGCACTGGCCATCGTTAACAATCAAATATAAATCTTCACGTGCCCTCGTAAAGAGAGCACAGGCGTAGAGCCACTAACAAGAAGCAACACTGTGTTGTCTGAATCTGGTCATGTTTAGAGGACAAATGGAAGGATAATGCCTTACAAATTAGGGAAGGGAAAAATAAAAGAGGGAAATGGTACTTAAGTACGCAAACTGTGTGTGGTTTATGTGACAGGACGCTACTAACCTTAATAGCAATGTGAGCTTCATGCTTCATGCAAAGAGATTCATTGATTTAATATTTCGTTTTATTATTATTGTGATGAATAAATCCTTCTGCTCACATTTAAAACCCCTTATGGTCCAGGGACAATGAGGAGAGAAAATTGCTTGGATAATTGCAAAATAATCTTTCACATTAGTCCTGTTGAATGCCTGAATTCTGCAAAATCTTCACATTGTGTCTGCTGAAAAACTGTGTACTGCTTTAGAGCTGGAGAGTGGGGATTGTTCTCCTTGGAGTTGCTAATGGATGTTATTTGTGAAAGAAAAATACGTTTCTGTTGATGGACGTTAATGCCTTTTTTCACTCTGCTCTCATCTGCACATCTATTGTGTTGGAGGCCCACTGGCTTTTTTGGGGGACTTTGATACACACGAGTTACTGCACGTCGCCTTCGAGCCACACGCTGGGGTTTGTATGCCGTGGGGGATGTTCAGTACTGCTCCGCTCAAGAGGGGGAAATTGTCTCGTGCCTGTTTTGGGCTGTTGGGTGGTAACATTGTGCTCATGGCCAAGGGTTAGGGAATGGTTGGAGCACAGCGAGCTTCTGCTGGGGTCCTTTCTGAAGCAGTGTGTTGGTCTGTTAATAGGTATGCTTTCTTCCCATTTTTCTCAGTCCCAAAGAGCCTAAGTCTCTTGGCATCTCTTATAGGAGGCTTAAACCTTTGCAGCCTCCGGGCATCCGTCCCACCAAAGTGCTTGTTGCTAAGTCCATATCCAGACTAGGTGTTTAAATCACATTGCGAGTCTCTAGCATTCATCTATATGGATGGTCTAGTGCGGTAATGATATAGACACTTATCTGGGCTTCATCAAACAGCAACAGATCCTAAAACCCACTGTGGAAAAGGACAACAAGAACTTGGGGAGTAGAGGTGAGGCTCTGTTTGAGACGTGGGATGTGGTAGCCAGGGGAAGAGGCAGGTGGATACGTGGGGTTGGCAAGAAGCACAAGCCCTGATGACTGCTGATGTCGAAAGAAGCTGCAGAGCTGTGAATCCAATTTCCTTACAGGGAAAAAAGTGTCTTTTGATGGGGAATATCCAATTCTCTCAGATCTCGAAGCAGCGCTGTACCTCTGTAGCAAATACATTCCCAGTAACATTGGGGTGCAAGGAATTGCCCTGCGTTCAAGTCCCAAAGCACAGAGCTATGCAGAGGAAACTTGGGGGAAAGAGAAGCGGACGGGGGTGGATTTGGGTGCCCCCCCTTGAGATTGAAGTGGGTCCAGGCACCATCTGACTGCGAGGAGCAGCGCAACAGCAGCACATGTGCGTCGGCATGATCCATGATCAAAGCACCCAAAGCCAGAAGTTTGTTGAGGTAAATCGCAGCCTAATGAGACAAAGCAACATGCGTAGCGTGTTCTGGGCTGAAAAAGCCTTTGGAAGCATAATGTAGATCTAAGTCCCACCAGCAGCGCCTTGGTGGGACTTAGGACTACGCTTTAGCTGTGCGGCTTTGTGCTAGCAGAATACCCAAAGGAGAATTGGGCTTCCTCCTTTAGCCTTACTGCATGGGTAGTTAGTTCCTCGATCAGTTCCTTGAAACTTTGTTTGCAAACTGCGCTTCTTGGTTGTGATTTGGTCTTCCAAAGCAGATTATGTCGTTTCATTTCCCTGGTGGGCTGTGAGTTAATCAAGAGCAAAGCTTGAAGCTGTGTTGGATCTTTGAATCTTTCATGGGTAATGAGATAAACAGGGCTTACAGAATATATTTGATTTTTTAAAACTTTTACTTAGATATGGATTTCTTGTGGCAGCATAATTTACTAAAAAATCAGTAAGATTCCATGGCTGCACAGGAGTCTCTGATGAAATATTCTGGCCCTGTACCAAGCCTGAAGTGACTAGGTGCAAATACAATTTAATGTAAAGTTGTGTGTGTAGTCATTCAAGGTTGCCCCTGGAACAGATGTAGGTATATTACTCTCTAATTTAAAGAGCCTTTGTGCTGGAGTTGAGCCGTAAAAATTGTTCCCATCTCATGTTAAATAGTATTGCAGCAAAAACCAAAGGTTGTAAGTGAGAAGTCTTGTTTGTGTGACCCTACAAACACTTGCAGAAAACAAGTTTTTATCTCTAGCACTGCATTAGGAGAACTTCCTCAGACAGAAAAACCTGGAGAGCGTGACCCTACCAGCGCCAACAGCGACATTGCAACCACTGCTTATCTTCTGAGCGCCTCACTGCAGCATTTACACGGTGTTGATGCATCCTTCAAGATTCGTCCTTCAAGACGGCTGCGAAATCTGGCAAAGTCACAATATACTCAAGGAATTAAAAACTGTCCGGACCACCGATCCCTGCCAGCAGTTGAGCTCCACTCCCTTGTAGCAAGGGTGAGAGCCCTCCTGTACGCAGCATTGCTGCGGTTGCTGAAGTCCCCGGCGTGGTGCTGCTCCTCGCACCTCACCAGCGAGCGCTGCTGCTATCTCCATGCTTACGGGGAAGAAAAGGGGAAAGGAATTTGGATTAAATCTCTGCTCTGAACAGGTGGAAAGACTGCACTAGGGTTTGAATGAGGTGGCGATACTTGGCTGCTGCTCCCGCACCGCCCCTGTACTCACATTAATCTTGGAAAGATTTTCGGTGGCGGAATAAAGGAGGAGTCATTAAGGAGATGATCTGGCTTGATCTTGGGATAGAGACTTCCAGCTTCCCCTTTCAGCATCTCCGTGCTCAGGATTTCTAAATAGCGTACAGGTGATGACAGGAGAAACCTCACTCTTTGTTTTGCAATTCCTTGACAGCATTTTCATCTGCATGAATAAAAGTGAAGGGAAACAAATGAAACTAAACACTCAGGCAACCACACATCCAGCCCACGCAAATGGTAATAAGATGCACCCAAGAAGATTGAGATCCTGCTGTGCTTTGCGGTGTGCTTGGCACCGATGGGCTGCCACTTTCTGGTTGCTGTAGGGCACTTGCTTGCAATCTGTCGGCAAACTTGCAGCATAGATGCAAGTCCAGATGCTTAATAAACCCTGTACGTGGTTTTAGCAGCTCTTCAAATCCTCCAGAGCAGGTTCACCATCCATCTTCCATGCGGCTCTGAGCAGGACGTGGATTGGGGCAGGGGGACAGGATTCATTTTTCCCTGTTTCTGCTCTGGTTTTAATCCTAAGAACCTAAAAGAATGAGTTGAGCTTGAACAGCCAGAGTTACCTGAAGAGTTTGCTTTACTATATTAAATATGTATTTCCGAAGGCTGCCAGTGCTGCATATGCCCTCGGTTTGTTGGGGAAAGCACAAAGCCCCGAGCAGCGAGTTGATTAAGCTCTGGAGCAGCTTGCAATCAAAACAGCCGCAGATCCTCTAATGCAGCAATTAAATTATCCATTTCCCTTTCAGAAACTTCCTTAAAGCCCCCCAGGAGCTGCAGTCCGAGCCAGCAAAGCAAACTACACTCAGCAGCCTCTCCTTACCTCCTCTCCTACCCGCATTTCTCAGCCTGTGTGTCGTGCCCGGGAGATGGGAGGAGACCAGGAAAGGGAAGGCTGAGCTCAGGGAGACCCTAGATTTTGGTTATAATCTTGAGTAAAAAAAAATTCTTGACCTGTTGTGTGCATCCTCTGCCATCTGACTCCAGCATCTTCAGGTCAGTCTGTCTCTTAAACTGGACAAAGACACATTTTTAACACTTTTTCCCCCTGTCTTTAGAAGCGTAAGGAGAAAGCATCTTGTTTTAAGTAAAGGTTTTGCCAGCCAGAGAGAGGAACCGCTGCTTTCAGACTGCGAGGGCTTAGTACTGCGTTGCCAGCACAGCGATCTCTGCTTGCCAAAGGCCGCAGAGGTC